AAGATATAGCTGAAAATTTAGATTTTTCTAGTTTGATAAGAGATTTTGAGGACAAAAAAGCTAGAAAAGTTAGATTTTAAAATTTAATAACTCTTGTTTATATAGTTAGAGGATTTATTATATGTTTAATAAAAACATTTGTTATTTTAAAAGCAGCGTTGCGTTGTCTATTTATTTAGTCACTCATTTCTATAAATCCATATCATGAAAAGTCTAAATTTATAATTTTAATAAGAAATTAATTAAATAAGAAACTTGATGCACAATATGGATCTCTTTGCATTAAACTATATATTCCCTTTAGCACTCTTGTTCATCATTTTAGAGGATTGGTCTCGTTGTTAATGGTATCAACCCACCCATATATACCTAGGGGCGCGTTCACAAGTTTTGCCCAACCTGTCAAAAAAGCTAAGGCCGGCGCTGTATATATATATATATATATATATATATATATATATATATATATATATATATATATATATATATATATATATATATATATATATATATATATTTATATATATATACTAGCTGGGCGGACCCGTAAAATACGGGTCTTTACCGAACCGACCATTTTTATACTTATCTGATTATTTCTATAGCTATCAGGACGTAAAATAAGGGTCTTAGTAAATCTATTCCACACCGACCTTTTCTATACTTATTCCTTACCTCAATATTTTTTTAAAACCGTTTTAAAAACTATGTACATATAAAAAACTATACTTACTTTTTGATATGACAAAAATATTTCATTATATAACGTTATAATGTTCTTTAAAAAACTTTAAACGCTTTTAATATTATGCCGATTATAAAGATTTTAATAAGAAAAAACGTATAAAAGACTACGAACTTTGAAAAATGCTAAAACATTCAACACGTGATGCCGTTAAAGTACGCCTTAGTTAACGTTCATAACATATACACATCTAATTAGATTTTTTTTAAATTCAGTTGTTCCAAACTTGGTTTTGAATTTTTAATTACACTTCTTATGCGTCATAAATTATCTCAAATTCTAAATAGAGAATACGTTTATGGGCTAATTGGTAGCCGCGCAACACTTAGACAGATATAGTCATCTCACCCCGGGAGTTCATATTCCAGTGACCTTTTTTTTCATCCCAACTTACAACAAAAATAATTAAAAATAAATGTTATTATTGAAACAGTTTTAAACATTTCTTCCAATTTTTCTTTGAACTTAATTTTATTCACGGTAAATATACTTTTGGTGTTTGTAAGCGTTTTTTTACGTTTAGTATTGGTAGGAATTATTTGCACGCACGTATTTTAAACAATTATTTTTACTGTTTCATCTAAAAATCATATGTAATTTAGTTTTATAATTTTTTAAATATAATATATATAATTTAAAATATTTTATTAACCCTATTTAAACAAGTATCAAAACTCTTTTCTTTAATTTAAAAGAATGCCTGCCCAAACCTAAACGCTCAGTTGATGTATCTCCGCTTTGCTTTTATTTGTTAACCGTTAGAAAAACATTACAAAAAGAAACATAATAGAGTCCATTAGTTTATAGCATCCGAGTAGACTCTTCCAATATTAAACAGAGTATCTTACAATTTTATTGGTTTTCTAAATTCTGTCATAGTTGCGCACTCGGTTTAGAATATTTAACGGGGGCGTAAATAAGTAACTGTAAAATTCTAAATATTTTTATTATTTTAAATTAAATAGTTTTAACGTTTTATTATTTTGAAAAATAATAAGTTCAATAAAATAATTTATTTTAAAAATAAATTTAAGATTTTTAAAGTTTTTTTAAATAAGAATGTTTTTTTTTAAAACCCCCTCACTGTTTTAAAAAAATTCAAGGTCGCCGCGTGGCAAGTTCAAATCATCAGCTTGCTTTTTTTAATAAAATTATTGTTATTTAAAATGCAAAACAAAACAACTTTATAGTTCTAAATATTTACATGTTATATACCCAATTTCTTTGCGCTAATACGACTTAAAATAACATGACAAATAACAAATTTAAAATTATAATAAATAAAAGTTTACGTAAGGCTAACCACGGCATTTTGACGAAAATTTCAAAAATATATAATAAATAAAAGACTTTGTAAATCGATCAAAATTAAAGAGACGTTGCCGCAATGCTGTTTTTAAGTGAAAGTAAAACTGTAAAACTTGACATGTTTTTGTATGTTTTAACATTTCATATTTTGAAGTTTACGTAAGTTAGATATTTGCATACACTTTTGTTTACGTTTATTTATCAAAAAGTGCTGAGACTCTTCCTCGCCATTACTTTGGTTGCAATAGTTGCCATGGGTTTGTCAAACACGCTCGAAAGAGCGCTACTAACACTATTAAGTTCGGCAATAATATATAGAGAAGATAGCTTTTAGTAAATGGTATGAATATACATTTGATAAAGTATTTTTGATAATGTATGAATAGACGTATTACTAATGGTATTAGTAATACGTCTTTAGAAAAAGTAAACGCTTTTAAAAAATGATTAACGATTAACAATTTTTAAACCAGTTATAACAGGATATCTACCTATAAAATGAAGAAAAATATTGTTATATAAAACACTGAATACACATATAAAAGTTGTTTAAAGTTATTTAAAAGTTGTCTAAATGTTGAAAAATTACATAATAAGATGTAAAAAAATATATAAAAGGTGACGAAACTTAGTCAATTATCAAACACTAAATAAGAAACTTACTTTGTGAGATCGCTTTTGTGGAAGTCTCTAGTATTTGATTGGAAGGCTGGAAACACTCTTTATTTAAAAAGCTATTTTATCAACAATGCTAAAGATAAAAAGTCACAGTGAGATAAAAAAATTAGGCATTTATTCAAAAAAATATTTCTTGGCTTTTAGTGAATGATTAGAAGGAGTAGTTTCAGTAATGAAGCTAGCTAATAATCATTTTTAACGATAGACACCAGCGTGAAGGTAAGCCAAGCTGTCTATCAACACAAAACATCACAACAGAAACATTACACAATGACAAACAAAAACACCAGTGGTGTAGACAGGACTTTTGTTGTTTTATAAGAAATTTAAAACCTGTTAATGAATAAGATTATTATTATATGCTTAAAAAAAATACTTTTTTAACTAATTGGCAGCTAAATTCAAGGGAGGAAAGCAAACCTTTTTAAAACATATTTGTTTTCAAGCCCCAACCACATCCATATTTTACAAATTATTTGAATTTGACAAACATGAACACAATTAAGTTTAGTTGAAAGAGTCTGAAAGTAATGAAAGAGTTTGAAAGTAAATAGTCTTAAAGTAATGAAATAGTCTGAAAGTAATGAAAGTAATAAAAGAGTCTGAAAGTAATGAAAGAGTTTGAAAGTAATTAAAGAGTCTGAAAGTAATAAAAGTAATAAAAGAGTCTGAAAGTAATGAAAGAGTCTGAAAGTAATGAAAGAGTCTGAAAATAAAAGTAAAACCTGAAGCATCAAAAAATCCTGCCTACGCTACTGAATAATACACAACATATGACATTTGTAAGTACACATTACACAATGTATTCAGATATTATGTGTTTCCAAAATAATTAAAAAAGCTAGACAACACAACCTAGTTCAACACTTGTAACACCGTTTGGCACTAAACGCTGCCAAGTAACACCACAATTTAGTAACACCGCTCGGCATTAAGTGCCAAGTAACACCACTAATTAGTAACACCACTTGGCTGGCAAGGATCACAATCTTGCACTACACGTTGCCAAGTAACACCACTTTTCAAACATGGAAACAACATAATATAAACTTAAACACATATAAACAAACATATACAAACACAAACATCTATATATAAGTAAAAACATATATTCACATATATAAACATATATAGCAAAGAAAAAAAACATAAACAAACTTGTCAAAATTATAAATTAAGAACATTTGTAAACACAACATTATATGTGTAATATTTGTTAAATGACATACCTTGTAATGCATGTTTATCAACTTTAAAAAACAAACTATTAAAAGATTTTGTTCTTGAACATGCAACATATAATTGGCCGTGTGAAAAGCAAGGCTTTTTGAGATAAACACCAACTTTATCAAATGTTTGACCTTGACTTTTATTTATGGTCATTGAGTATGCTAACCTAACTGGAAATTGACGACGTTTAAGTGTAAAAGGTAAATTTGAATCTGATGGAGCTAATTGAACTCGAGGAACAAATACCCTGATACCAGCTGATACACCTGTTAGAACCTCACCATCAATGTAATTGTTGTGTAGTGCACGCACCATCAAACGTGTTCCATTACAAAGTCCACCTTTGAGATCTAAATTTCTAAGTAGCATTATAACAGCACCAATTTTCAACTTTAGGCAATGAACAGGCATACCTGATGGAGTCAAAGTATTTAAAAACTCAACTGGAAACTTATAAATTTCATTATGATCATCAGTTTCAATGCTATCTGAACTTAAATAAGTTTTAACATCACCCGGTAATCGATGAAGGACTTCTTCATTTATTGCCAATGAATCAACATTTGTTGGTGTTAAAATAGCACGTTTTGCATAATCAGCTTCTTCCGCACCACCAAAAATCTTTTCCACAATAGATTCATTATCATTGAGAAAACACTGCTCAGGTATTTCAATACACCCTTGCAAAGGATCTTCAGGCTTGACAGGTAATGTTCCACTTCCAAGCTTTAAAAGCCATTGAGAAAATTCCTCTTCTCCTATCTGAACCCTCATATTTTCAGTTAATGAAAACCTTTGCACATATTGCCAATGTTCAGAACACTTTATACATGATTCTACAACATCTGCTGGTCGACCTCTCTTCACAACTGGAAGTATTTGTCGAAAATCTCCACCCATAAGAATAACTTTACCACCAAAAGGAAACTTTTTATTACAAATATCTTGTAATAACTTATCAATGGCACTCAAAGCATGTTTGGGTATCATAGATGCTTCATCGAGTAAATATAAACTAACTTGTCTCAGGAATCTACCATGAATGGAGTTTGGAGTTACATTACATGTGCTAGTTTCCAAAATTGGAACAGGAAGTTTGAATAAGCCGTGCAATGTGCATCCATTCTTAAGAAGAGTTGCAGCTATTCCTGTCCATGCAGCTGTTGCAGTTCTAATATGCCTGCTGCGTGTTTCAGCAATTAAATAATTGTAAGTAAATGTTTTACCACAACCGGCAGGCCCATCCATAAAGAAAAATCTTGAATGCTTATTTTCATTATTAGGTTCTTCACTAAGTGCAGCAAGGATTGCATCAGCTACATTACGCTGGTTATCGTTTAATAATGGTCTAACTCGATTTGCTTCATCAATAAATACCTTAATATCTCCATCATCATTTTCTAGGACATTATCTAATAACTGATCTAATATAGGCAAATTATAATCAGTTAAAGTTTTACCACTCTGATTAATTATAGATTCAATTTGACGAAGAGCAGTCTGTTCAGCAAGTACAACTGGCATTGAATGGTGTATGTAATCCTCAATCATATAATCTTTAAATGTATTTCAAAGGTGTAAAGGATCATCAGGTTCACATAAAGTCAATATAATGGAAAACAGTTGCCTAATTTGTTTAGGCATTCGAGTTGCTACAGCTTCAGTTAATGTATTTCTCCATTCAATGTCATCTTGCAATAGACCTAATCGATAACATGCTTCACGAAATTTATTAAAAACAGTGCCATGAATAGTACGCAAATCCTCAAAAGACATTGCACCTTTTACATGCAAAAGCAACAATCTAAGAAAAAATACTTCACTGGTTAGATTGACTTTATACATTCGCACAATCACCTTATCACTGCCTCTTTGTCTTACTTTCCACTTGCAATTTTTACCATCAAAAACAAAGTGATATGGAATTTCAACATAAGAATACTGACGTGCTTCATTTATCTCAGCATTTAATTTAAACCAAGCGGTTAGGTGAGTGTCACGCTGTGCAGCACGATCTATAGCTACTCGTTCTTCTCCTTCGTTAAAATATACCCTCTGATTATCAGGAAGGTGGACTTGAAGGCGGATAATAGTATGTGACATATCACTTATGGAATACTCAAATATTCGCCAAAGAGCCTCTGGTGCAGAAACAAAGCGACAATCTAAATATGTGTTAATTTCATCATGGTCAAGACTTTCATTAATTAACACATGAGCACAATCATGCCCCTTATAGACATATTTATATAAATACTTAACTGACTTAATAGACATGCAAGCTTCAACATTAATATGTGCTTGGTATTTTTTAGATAACCAAGGGTTGTAGGGTACAACCCATCGATTATCAACTTGGTTACCTTTTATAACGACTACTCTACCATTATCTAAACGCCTGTAGTGAGGATAGCCATTGAAAGTTGCAACAGTGTGAGGATTAAATTCTTTAGGAAACTTTTTTGTGCAAATCCCATCTTTCATGCAAGAAGAATTGGGATTCAAAATTCCACATGGTCCGTGAATCATACATGTTTTTATAATTTCAAAAAGTTCAGGATCAACAGTTTGATCTGGAATTTCAGCTGATATTAGACTATCAATATCCTCTGCTGTTTCTAGCTTATCATCATTTACAAAGTGCAATAAAATATGTACATGTGGCAAACCACGTTTTTGAAACTCAATAACCTGTACATGACTTATAACTTTACCTAAGACTCCGTGTTTAAAAATATCATCTAGGAAGCATTTAAGTTTCATCTTAAATACACGACAAACTAAATCAGGTCTGTCAGATGGGCTCTCACCTGGATTTAAATTTTCTGTAATTTCTTTCCATTTTGGATTGCAGGTAAAAGTAATAAAAAGATCTGGTTTGCCATATCTCTTTATAATTGCCATTGCATCTTCAAAATTTTCTTTTAAAGCTCTTGGACTTCCAACATATGAGGATGGTAGTATAACAACACGACCTGGTCTTACATTAAGGTTATTTGCAGCGTTATTTACATGTTCATATAATGTATCATATTGTTCACTTCAAAGTCTGTTTTGGTTATTTCTAATAAAAGCAAGGCGCTGACCTTCAATCTTGACATATGCATCAACAGCATACTGTTGAAAAAGCTTCTTACCATAAAATATAGGATTAAAGGTTTCTCTAACAGAAAGCCTGTAATTGTAGTACTGAGACAAAGTAACCCGATTTTTAACACGTGTAGCTCGGTCAGGATGATGCTCTAGTTGCTCATGCCATCCAGCATCACCTCTTGGAAAAAATATTGGATATATCATTGGATCTAGATTTGCAGACATACTTGAAATTGTTTTTAAGGCCTGACCTCGAGGGTATATAACTACTTCCCTAGATGGAGGTGGAGCACCATCATCCCCAACAAAAACAATGGCAATTTCCTCATGTGAAGGAAGATTGTATCGACGTCTATCACCACCTTCAAGCAATGACATTTTAACAATCGAAGTTGGTCGACCTTCTAAAGCTGCTTGACGTACTTCTTCATCTTCAATTTCAGCCATGTTTTTAAATGCAAGAGCAAATGGGTTCTCTTGACTAATTATAGTCTGCAAAAATTCCATCAACTCACGTATGCAACAATCATTTTGCTCCATTCGAAAATTTAAAGCAGTATTAGGATCATAAACATTTAACTGACAATATGCAGGCAGAACATTTTGATCAGGTCTCAGATTACCAACACGATGCACAATTTGTCCGCAAATCCTAAAACAGGGTGGCCCATGATCAGACGGAGGAGCTATTCTTGCTGTGAATGAAGCAAAAGATAAACAGGCATTATAACTTCGAATATGCTTGAAGAAATTTTGATTCATAGCACGATCAACATGGTTGCCTGTCATTAAATTGTGCATGAGCAGTGGATAAGGCGAAAGTGGAGCTAACGCAACTTTTCCAGAATGGCAGCACAGAAAATGTGTTTCATTTAAAAAATTTTTGGCACCACAATATTGAAAAATATGGTTCATTTCTCCAAGGTAATTACTCTCTATAAAAACATTATTTCTTGCTATGCAATGCATTCCACGTCTATGTAATACTCTCCTAGCCTGATTTCTTTCATTTTGGCGACGATTAATTTCTTCTCGCCTAGCCTGATTTCTTTCATTTTGGCGAAGATTAATTTCTTCTCGCCTTGCCTCATTTCTTTCATTTTGGCGAAGATTAATTTCTTCTCGCCTTGCCTCATTTCTTTCATTTTGGCGACGATTAAGTTCTTCTCGCCTAGCCTCATTTCTCTCATTCCGACGATTTCTTCTTATTTCAGCTCTCAAGTTATTTGACATAACTAAGAAACTATGTTTGATAAAAGTTGATTTGATTAATTTTTTGTTATACTAATCTAAAATGGAAAAACAATATGTGCATTTCTAATTATCAATATAAACTCTATAAGACTATTTATATATTTTCTAATAAAAATTATTGACCTAAAGTCTTAACTTAACTGGTTTAAAACAGAGAAAAACCTAAAAGTTAAACATAAGTTGAACCACTAAGTATTACATTTAAAGTAATAAAACAAAATATTTTAGAAATAAATTAAAATAAAATTATAACAATTTTAACAATTTTTTAATGCTAATAATAACTAAATTAAATAGTAAAATTATTTACAAATAAAAAAACGACATGCCAAATTGCAAATTGCAAATAAAACTTGTCTAACATGTAACATCATATAGTTCACATGTGGCTATCTTTAATGATTACTTTTTTATAATAAAAATCTAAAGAGAATAATATAAACATTAATATGTGTATAATGCAACAATTAGGCATATAAAACAAACAAATAGAATAAGAAAAAATTGTAACTAAATTACAAAATATTTACTATCAAGAAATCAAAAACTATATGAAATAAATAAAAATTAATAGACAAATTATTTAACATTTAACCACATAAGAGTTGTTTTGAAAGTTTAGACTCTCAAATCAGAAATAAAAATCAATAAATATAAAATTAAAATATCAAAAATAAATAAAAATACTTGCAAAAATCGAAACTAAAAAACAACTTTTTAGAAACGTAAAGATATATTTACAACAAATAAATAAATTAACACAAAAAAAAAAAAAAACTACTGATAAAAATTCATAATGTTTGACCTTTGGTCATTCTGCCTCCCAGCACCACTCCTCCTACCGGTGGCCCCATATGGGGTCTGTCTCCTCCATCTAAAGGAGGGATCATCTCCCCCATATTGGCACCACCGGAAGAAGGCCCTCTGTGATAATGGGCCTGGGTGCTGGGAGCGATATAAAAGGAAACTCTCCCAAGATGCTAAAAAAAAAGCAATAAATTTGATTACATACCATATATGCATATATATATATATATATATATATATATATATATATATATATAAATTCTGCATAAAACGACTAACATATTAATTTTAAAAACGACTAAAATTCACTTTACCTGTTGCAACTGAAGAATGTGTTGCTGTTAAGAAAAAAATATATATATATAAACAATTAAATCATGTATTTATATACAAACTTCACAAATTTAATGTTTATATTTAAATACACATAACACCCATATAAATGCATAAGTGTGAAAACATGTTACCTGACACTGATGCCAATGGTGCTTCTGTGGAGGTAAAAAAAAAAAAAAAATTAACATATACTACAGTCATGAAACTTCAAACATAAAAAAAATTGAATGTTTATGTTTTAATACACATAACACCCACAAAACTACATAAGTATGTAAAACACACTACCTGAAATAACTGCAAGGGGTGCTGTTGGAGAAGCGAAAAAAAAATTAAAGTTTAAATTAACACAAACCAAACATTCATAAAATTGCATACAAAAGAAAAAAATTTCATGCTAATTTAAATGCATAAAAAATTAATATGCATAAAACCTATAAAACTGTATAAGTATGCTAAACCCACTACCTGACACAACTGCCAATGGTGCTTCTGTAAAGGCAAAAAAAAAAAAAAAAATTGTAATGTTCAAATTAACATATATTTAACAGGTATGAAACTGCATACAAATATTAAAAATGTAATGTTTCAGCTTGAATAATACAACACCCAAAAAATACATAAGTATGCAAAATACATTACTTGATGCAGATCCTGTTGGTGCTTCTGTGGAGGCAAAAAAAAAAAAAAAATTAAAAGTTAAAAAAATTAACATAAACTACAGAGTCATGAAACTTCATACAAATATAAAAAAATTGAATGTTTATGTTTCAATACATAAGTTTGCAAAACACACTACCTGAAATATTTGCCAGGGGTGCTGCTGGAGAGGCAAAAAAAAAATTAAATTTTAAATTAGCACAAACCAAACATTCAAAAAACTGCATAAAAAATAAAAAAATTTAATGCTTATGTTTTAATACGCATAACACCTATAAACCTGTATAAGTATGCAAAACCCACTACCTGACACAACTGCCAATGGTGCTTCTGTAAAGGCAAAAAAAAAAATAGTAACGTTCAAATTAACATATATTTAACAGGTATGAAACTGCATACAAATATTAAAAATGTAATTATTCAGCTTGAATAATACAACACCCAAAAAATACATAAGTATGCAAAATACATTACTTGATGCAGATCCCGTTGGTGCTTCTGTGGAGGCAAAAAAAAAAAAAAATTAAAAGTTAAAAAAATTAACATCAACTACAGAGTCATGAAACTTCATACAAATATAAAAAAATTGAATGTTTATGTTTCAATACATAAGTTTGCAAAACACACTACCTGAAATATTTGCCAGGGGTGCTGCTGGAGAGGCAAAAAAAAAATTAAGTTTTAAATTAGCACAAACCAAACATTCATAAAACTGCATAAAAAATAAAAAAATTTAATGCTTATGTTTTGATACGCATAACACCTATCAACCTGAATAAGTATGCAAAACCCACCTACCTGACACAACTGCCAATGGTGCTTCTGTAAAGGCAAAAAAAAAAATAGTAACGTTCAAATTAACATATATTTAACAGGTATGAAACTGCATACAAATATTAAAAATGTAATTTAATCTAAAAAAAAAAAAATTTATTATATTTTTTTTTTTTGCAATAGTTTTCAAATAAATGCACAGGTTCACCATGACTACAACTACCTGGCAAAAAATCTACATTGTTTTTATTTTTACTGGTGCTCTCCCCTTGAATGTGATCTTCTATCTCATCATTGTTATGCTCTACAATATTAACTTTATCTTCATTGACTATATCTTCTATATAATAGAAATTAATAAAATCAACTGTTAAAAAAAAATTTAAAAGAAAATATGCTCCCAAAAATAATTCATAAATAAAGAATATAAAAATTAATTAGTCAAGTAAAAGATTTAAAGTCAATCTGATTTTTTCAACTGTTTTCAAGTCAGAAATATACTGTTTATATAGTAAATATAACTGTTTCAAAAGAAATATATTGCACAGATTCAATACTGTGACTACCTGGTTCTTCATTATGCAATAAATCCTTATTGCTTTGCATCTTACTGACATGCTTTTCTACTTGAATGTCTACTTCGTCATCATCAATGTTGTGATTTATACCATCAACTTTATCTCCATTGGATATATCTTCTATAAATAGCAATAACTTAAATCTATCATGTTAAAAATCTTTTCAAAGTAATACGCACCTAAAAATAATTTATAAATCAAGAATATATAACTGAATTAAAATAGCGTCTATCTGTTATTTTTTATCAACAGTTTTTAAGTTAAATAAAACATAATGCACAGATTCACCACGACTATCTACATGGTTCTACAGTAAATGACAAATCGTTATTATTCATGATATATATTCTGATAGATACTTCTATGTCATCATTGCTGTGCTCTAGATTTTCAACATGGACTTCATCTACTTAAAAATAAATGCAGTGGTTTAATAATATATAAATATAAAGTATATATATAAAATAAATATAAAAACAAATATAAGGTCTATATATATATATATATATATATATATATATATATATATATATATACATACTTAGTTTATAAATAAAGTGTATATTTACATATAAAAATTTATATGTTTTCATATAACTAATTAATATTAAAGTATAAACTACAATTATATTTAAAAATAGATTATGATATTATCACTAAAAATGGTTTCTATTTATATTTAACTACACTAACCATTTCTTTTTTGTATGCCAATATCGATACCTTTTTTCCAAAAATCATATCTATTCTCATATTCCCTCATAGGAGACTCTGATTTATGACATAGTTGTAAAGTTTTTTTGTATTTTTCATTTTGTGACAAAATTGCAGCTGTTTTTGCTTTTTCATTACTGGTAACTACACCATATTGACCAGGATAACCCGGCACCAGAGATTTTGCAACATGATGCTTTGATTTGTAGTAGTCTAATGACCATCTTGTTGAACACAGTGTTCTGTTAAATAAATCAACTTCTTCCACTTTTCTAACTGCAAAAATATGTCTACATGGCAATAGCATTGCAGACCTGAACCCACAATCACAAGACAGAACAGTCACTTTTGATTTAGCACATGTTGTTGTAACTTCATATTGGTTCTGAGGAAGCTTTTTTAATGACCTTACTTCTGATGCTAATTCTAATTCCTTTCAAACAAAACTAAATGCATAAGGTGTTAGCAATTTCTTGTAAGACTCTTCAACAGAACCAGGTTCATAAAGAATAACAGGTCTTTTATGAAAAACATTTATTGCTTTGTGATCTTGCATTACCCTTGTGGACTGTAAAAATACCAAAAAATCGTCAAACTGTCCAAGGTTTGTGTTTCTAGAACAAACTTGTTTTAACTTTTGATTTAAAGATTCCAGTCTGTTATTGG